ACTTTGTAGAAGATTAAGTCAAAAAATAAGCATAATCACCGCGAGGTGAAGTGTGTCCACTTAGTCCCCGAACTGGCAGTAGGTGAAATAGTCACATGGTGCCAGGGTCTAAAGTAGTAGTCTTCAGGTGCTGACCTAGTCCACAATGTCGCTGGAAACCAGTGTAGAAATAAATACAGTCATCGCGAGATGACGTGTACACACGTAGTCCCCGAGCTTGCTGGAAGATTTTGAAGATATCTTGTAGCAGGGTCAAAGAATTTTTAATGAAAGTTTGCCAACATCATCTGTCATGTACTTCACAAAACCCCGGACGTGCTGCCCAAGATCAGCAACCCTGATCCAAACAGCATGGAGCAACTTGATAGTACACCGATGAGACGTAGCAAGATCCGACCAAAAAAGGGAGCCCCCAGCTTAGCTAGCGACGCTTGCACAACGAGGAGTCCCCAGCGTAGCTAGCGAGCCCCAGCGTAGCTGACGATGAAGCCCATACGATGAGCAGTCCAACTAACTGGTCGGCGGCGAAGTGAACGCCGAGCAGGAGCGACCACCCGGACGATGATCATCTTGTCCAGTCCCTGAGCGTAAGCTCGTTGACTGAACCATGCCCCTATGAAATAAATATGTAGAATAGGTAGTACATGATGTAAAAATAAAATATATGAACTCCGAAGAAGAATCAGCAATGGTGATGAAATAGCGTATGCAGCTCAGCGATTAGTTGGTGTGAACACTTAGTGTTATTCTAAATATGTGTTTATATTTAATATAAACCATCCGACCAGTTAGTGTGTAACTGAGTCTCCAGCCCTAGCTAGCTTGTTAACCATATCGAGGAGCGCGGAGCCCATATGCATGTAGGAAAAGCAGGGCGTCGCTAAGGAGCCACTGCCGACCACCCCTAACGCATAGGACAGGCGCTCGTGCACGTGTAGGGAGAAGCCGGAGACAGGCCCGTCTCTGGGAACATCCGAGCATCAACATGACTGTTCGAGGATTTGCCTTAGGCTTAGTTGTATGTCATCTTTAAGATGGTATACATGAAAGAAAATCGTTTGGAGAATAAACATGGAGAAAATAGCTCGGAGAAACATCATGGAGATATATGAAGGTTGGGGAATATTTAGAAAAAATATTAAAGCGTGACTTAGCTTTAGACAGAACGTCTGGTCGACGTCGACGAAATCGCCCAGCTCTCGGACTTTCCGGCCTATCGTCATGGCGGCGATCGCGGTCGTTATAGCGCCGTTCTTCACAGCGATCATCATTGCCACGCAGCAGGTGGTCGGAGCAAGTAGTCCAGGTGACGTCATCCTTATATTATTGGTCGGCCTTAGGCAGATCAGATTCGGGGAGATCAGTGACGTAGGACTTGGGCGGCTCGCTTAGCGGTTCACTGGTGGCTCGGCATGACTCGCTTAGCGGCTCGCTTCATGTTCGAGTTGGATCCCACATCACGAGGATGTAGATCATCATTGATCGTTTGTGGCTAGCTTGCGTGCATCATCTTCATGTCATGGTGATGTAGACCATGCATAATTTCCTTGTTTGCATGGCTTTGTGGATTGGTTGAACGGGGGATCATTCTGTATGTATGCCCCATTAATTTGCGCTATCGATCCGGTTGATGAAGAAATCCGGGCGAGTCAACGGCGAGGTCCCCGTCGTCGATGAGGTATGACCAGTCGACGGCGTGAGTCCCGATGAGACGTTGGCAAGGGCTGTCGCGGCTTCCTACCAATAACAATCGTCATGTAGACAAGCAGAGAACTAGGGATGCACGAGGATATACATAACCCATAGACCATGTTTAACTAAAAGAAAAGTACGACTTAGCTTTTGGATCCATGAACGCAGGTGTCGTCAACTGTCAGATTGTTGCATGGTGTTGTAGACGTGGCCGCTGCCGCTCCAGGCTGTTAGCTGCCTTGATTAGGATCTTTGGGCTTTGAGGCTTGCCGTACGTGAGGCGTGGTCGTGTAGATGTGGCCATGGGATGGATCCATGGGAGCGCGTGCTGGTATGGATCTGAGAGAGTCGTGCCCCTCGTAGAGCCTGCATGACTCTAGCTAGCTATCACGTAGGTTTCTATAGGCCGTGGAATCACGCCCTCCGTCGTTGGAGATGGCTTGACCCCGCGATCTATCCATTACCGCCGGTGATGAAACACCGAGTCCCGCCGGAGTTTGTTCATGGTCACCGTCGTGAAGTGCCGATTCCCCACGACGATGATAGAAAATTTCCCATCTGGTTCGCCATGGATTCAGCACGCACATCCCCTACCTGGCGTGCCACTGTCGACGAAATATGGTCGGCAGTCTACCGAGGAGTATGCCCATGATAGTAGATGAATCGGTGGAGGTGTGCATGAAGGAACCGGACGGTGGCACAGAACACAAGAGACTGTGATTAGGTAGGTTCAGGGCGCCGACTTGGCGTAATACCCTACATCCTGTGTCTTTTGGTGGGTTGTATTGCATATGATCATATGCCTTAGACTAAGCCTAGGATTCGTATGGTGGTGGCGACTAGGGGACCCCTGCCCCTCCTTATATGCTCTGGAGGGGTAGGGTTATAAGGAAAGTATCCTATTTGGTATTATACAATATCTAATAAATCGCATCTTCTTATAGCCTTGTGGTGCACACCGACCAGTGCAATGCATCGGACGCCTTGATCTTATGGGCTGGGCCACCTCTGATGGTGTGGCCCATGTCTTGTCCTGTGGGTACTAGGGGTCATACCCCCACAAGGACTCAAATGTTTAAAACGACAATCTCATACACTTAGTTTGTAAGCATAAAGACGTAAGGCTAGAAAACCACTCCACTGAACCGCCGTTAACCATTGGTTGTTCGATAATGCTATTATACGAGCGTCCGGACGCTAGTAAAAATATCGGACTCATGCTTGACGCTCTTTCAACATCGGTCTCTCTCCTCCCTATCCACTCATTCTTATCCACGCTTTTCACCACACATCAGCCTCTTTCTTGTTCCCACTAGTATTCACCAAAACAAACACTCATTGACCTCTTCCTTCCCCTCCTCCTCTCTCTCTCTTATGCTCCCATGGCGCACTAGCCTTCAAGATGGCAGCGCTTGAGCCCGACATGGCGTAGCATGGATCCTCCGATGGGGTCCCTCACTCTTCCTCGTTCGTGTACACCTTCATGGTGGGAGCGTCCTCTCTGGTAATGAGCTTCTCCGTGGCGAAGATCCATGGAGGTGGCGCGGCGGTGTTGTAGGGGAGTGGGTGGCTCTCCTCCACCCCCCGCGCGCTGCCCTCCCCACGCCCGGAGGCGCCCTCTCTCACCCCAGCAACCAAGCTCTCCCCACACCCAGAGGCGCCCTCTCCCCCACCGTCGCCACCAAGCCAAGCCCGGTACCGGTGGCGCTGGTGGTGGTGGCGCTCATGCGCCGCGCCGCTCGCCGCCGGCTCCAACCTCGACGGCTGGAATCGACGGCTGGTTTCCCCTCACCTATGTTACAAATGTATATTTCAGGTGTTTCAATCATTTCAAAGGTATGTTGCAGTTGTTTGTCATGAATGTTGTAAAAGTAGATCGGGGGATGTTGCACATGTTGCATATGTTGCAAGTGTTTCAGAAGCATGTTACAAGCGTTGTTCAAGATGTTTCATCTGTTCTCAAACGTATGTTGCAATCGTTTTTTATTTGGATGTTGCATATGTTTTCACACATATATTGCAACAGTATGTTCTAAATATTTCAGCTGTTCAGTCTTATGTTGCAGTAAGTGTTTTTTATGTTGTAATTGTTTTATCTAGATGTTGCATATGTTTCACACCCATGTTGTAAACGTATGTCCCAAATGTTTCATTGTTTTAAATGTATATTGCATTTGAGTATTTTATGTTGCAAGTGTAGACCGCCGGCGTTGGTGTCCATGAGGGCGGGCAGGGCCAAGCTGCGGCCACCAACACGTGGAAGAGGCGTAGGCCGTGTGGTGCTGTTGTGGAAGAGGCGGGGGCGAGTCATCCGAGCCGCGTGGGCAGCGGATCTAAAATGGGCGGTTCGGATGCAAGCACGGGAAACAGAGCTAGCGCGGGCGGCACGCGAATCCGAGTGGGCAAGGTAGAGGAGCCACGGGCGTCCGGACGTTTGGGCGGTAGTGCTGCTCTTGGTTGTTAAGGAGGTGCGCTCTCAAAAAGAACCATATCTCCACAACACTAGTAGGGAACATATTTAGCGCAAACCACCTCTTCATAGTCGTAATTGAAAAATATATTTTATAAGTTTTAAAAATAAAATAAAATGATGTATGAACTTGCATATTTTGATATGCAAACTCAGTCTACAAAAATCCCAAAAAATCATGAGGGTGAATTGATTTTTTTAAACAAATCAGGCAGGAGAGCTGCCGATTATATTAAAAAGAAGATAAACCCAGATTGGGCAACAACAAACAACACAAAAAACAGGAAAAACAACAACAACTCAGCCAGTTGGATTGGGACATCAACACGCGCCGATCTCAAACTCAAAGAAAAACAACTCTGGACAGTTAGATTGGGACATCGACACGAGCCAAACAAAGCCGAAAACTCAAAGAAGCTACACACTGCACCACCTCCAAACCACCGTCAAAAGGGTGAATTGTTTTTATACATTTTTTTTCTAGGATTACTTTGCATATCAACTATTGTTGATGAAAGCACGCTATATATGCACTAAGGACATACATTTTTTTTTAAAAAAATGAAAACTGCTGGGTATATTTTTTTAGGACGTTTTCTCGTTTCGACCCAAAAAGCGACATAGTAAAGTGCAAGCGCGAAGCGCCTAGCTCAACTTGCACGCAGAGATGCAACGGTCGAGAACCGAGAATGCATGCAAACATTGCAAAGTCTGCGGCACCATATTTCAATGAGAGCTAAAATCGTCACAAAGGCCCAAAAGTAGAAGGGGCATAACTCGTCTCTTTGATCATCATACAATAAAAACCACCGACACAGGTAGTTGTTCATGATCATCGTTACACAGCTACGCGGGGCCGCGGCCGTGCCAGCAGCCTGGCGCCGTCGCCGGCGGCGGTTCTGGAACGCGGCATCTCGGTGTCTTTGTCTTCAAACGCCGGCAGGCTCTCGAGCTCGAACAGGTCGGAGCTGGACTCGCTGCTCTCCTTGGCCCTCTCCCGCTCGTCCGCCACGCCGAGCGCGCGCAACAGCTCCTCCACCCTCCTCTCCGCCTCCGCCGCGGACTCCTTCGCCCGCGCCATCTCCGCCCCCGCGTCCCGCAGCCCCGTCGGCGCCGTCCCGACCGCTCCAGCAGGGCCGTGCCCGCGCTCGTCGCCCACCACCGTCGCCACGGGCGAGAACCGCACCGCCCGCCTCGCCGGAGTCAGGATCCCTCCCGTCGCCGCGGACTCCCTCCGGGAAGCGCGCGACAAGAGGATCGACCTCGCCGACGCCGGCTCTGGCGCCGGCGCGGCCGTTACCGTTGCGCGCGGCGTGTGGTCGACCGACCTGGCCGGCCTCCTGTTGCAGAGCAGAGCGTTCAGGAGGCACGCGAACGGCGCCGCCTTTGCTGTCGTCCTCTTGCTCTTCCTCCTGCTCCTCGTCTCTTCGCGTCCGCAACGCGGCGGTCCCCGGTCGACGGCTCGTGTGGGTGTGGCGGAGGGAGCGGAGGCGGCAGGAGGAGGGAGCCGTTCGAGTAGGGCTGCGGGTCCGGGCGGACGCGGCACGGCCGCGGCGTCCTCTGCAGCCGCGGTGACCGGACCGAGGAACGGGACGGCGACTGCTCGGGCGTCTGGCGACGTCGGCTCGGAAGCGGCGTCCGCCGCGCCGGGGACAACGACGACGACCCCGGCGTCCGGGTCCGGCGCGCCTCCGTGGACGAGCGCGCCTCGGCGTCGGCCTCGAGGGAGTGGTAGATGGCGTCGAGGAGCGCGGCGGAGAAGGACGGCTGGTGGCCCCGGCTGGGCCGGGGCGGCGGGACGCGGGCGCCGTCGTCGTCGTCGTGTGGAGGCATGGTGGAACTGGAGACGACGTCGGCCGTGTGGACTTGCCGGGACCGGGAGGAGACAGCGCGGGGAAGGAAGGATGGTTGGGTGGTGGTGCTGGCGCGTTCGTGCGGGGGTGAACGATCAGGGGGTCTGGTCTGGAGAAATGGCGCGCACGCATGCACACGGGCACAGGTGGTGGAAGCGAAATGGAGGTGGGTCCGTGGGTGGGTGACACTGTCCGCACTCGAGTACTTTTCTCTGATCAGATTCTCCCCCGCGGCCCACGATGGAGTTTGTTGGCAACGGCCGGGCCGGGGAGCTTGCGCTTTCTGCGCCGCTCATGTGCAGGGAAAGCTGAGCGGGGGCGTACTACGGCCTCGCAGTCTCTGATTGTGTGTGTACGAGAGATCGGCATGTAGGTGTCAGGTAGCGAGGTGACAACGATAGTCGATACCGATTACCGGATACCTATGGCTACGAGGGCAATGAGCTACTGCAACTGCAATGCAATCCATTTACCGATGACAGCAGACAAGGCTAATATTATGCAGTAATAGAACACTAAAACGACAAGGTTGAGTCCGGCAGACTGCAAAGAGCAGAGGCAGTGTGTGACCGAGAGAATGGCCGGGCCATAGAAAGGCCATCTCATCGGAGTACCGGTGCAATGAACAGATTACTTTGCTTTCAAGGCATCTGAATGATGCGCTCCCTTTTGTAACTACGGTTCATGATTGTGCAGCCCAATAACAGAGCATAAAGAGCACTGCTAGACGAAAGAGAACCATTTTATTATGAGTCTGATTGCTAGTACATCAGATCAGAAAAAAAGAAAAAAAAGTGCAGAGTTTACAAAAACCAGTGAGGCAGTGAACCTAGGAAGCCCTACTCGCGATCATCACATCGTCATGATCAATGTCCCGGATTTGATAGCTAGAGGCTTAGCGCTCCATCTCGGCCACGAATTGAAATTACTAGTGAAGTTCGCGCGCCTTCGCGCGCGCCGGTAAGTGTATATGCTGAGGTTTGTCAAGGCAGACAGGATGGATATATTTATGGATGAAAACGGTACGGATATTTATTCGACCGTCCGTTCGACCGAACAAATATGAACACTTATCTGGATAGTTACTCGGATATCCGTAATTTTTTTCGGATACGGATACTAAAACGGATATCTTAGGCGGATATCAAATACGGATGTAATATCATCGATATCCTGCGGATATCGGATAATCCGGTTAAGTATCGGATATATCCGGATATTTAAAAATGGATATTATCCGGATATTATTCAAACGACCTTTGATGGAGAAATGATCAAAATAAAAATTGTAGATCTCAAAAAGTTATGAAACTTTGTTGTTTACAACTTTTTCGTTTGAAATCATTTAGTGCTTCAAAATTTAAACCGTCCAAACTTTCTCAAATGGAAAACTAGTTTATAGACGTCAAAATTTAAAAATCACAAATTTGAACCATCCAAACTATCTCAAATGGAAAGTTGACCAAAACAACAATTGTAGATCTTGATGAGTTGAACAAACTTGGTATTCAAAACTTTTCAATTTGAAGTCATTTAGAGTTTATAATACTAGAGTCAAAGTGTTGTTTTTTCATTTGACCAAATTTGACTTGGTCAAACTTGCTCAAATGAGACACTAAATGACCTCAGATGAAAAAACTCTGAATACCAAGTTTGATCATCTCAGCAAGATCTACAATTGTTACATAGCTCATTTTCCTATTTGAGAAAGTTTTATCAAACACTAGTCACAAATTCTTGAATCTCATATAGACTTTTCTGAAACTATGTCACACACTATTGAAATTTGAACTATATTTTGTTCAAACTTTCTCAAATGAAAAAATGGCCTACATAAGGATTGTAGATCTTGATGAGATGAACAAATTTGGTATTCAAAACTTTTCAATTTGAGACAATCTAGGGTTCCGAAAACTAGTTTGTAAACATCAAAATTTAAAAATCACAAATTTGAACCGTTCAAACTATCTCAAATGGAAAGTTGACCAAAACAACAATTGTAGATCTTGATGAGCTGAACAAACTTGGTATTCAAAATTTTTCAATTTGAGACAATCTAGGGTTCCGAAAACTAGTTTGTAAGTATTGAAATTTAAAAATCATAAATTTGAACCGTCCAAACTATCTCAAATGGAAAGTTGACCAAAACAAGAATTGTAGATCTTGATGAGTTGAATAAACTTGGTATTCAAAACTTTTCAATTTGAAGTCATTTAGAGTTTATAATACTAGAGTCAAAGTATTGTTTTTTCATTTGACCAAATTTGACTTGGTCAAACTTGCTCAAATGAGACACTAAATGACCTCAGATGAAAAAACTCTGAATACCAAGTTTGATCATCTCCGCAAGATCTACAATTGTTACATAGCTCATTTTTCCATTTGAGAAAGTTTTATCAAACACTAGTCACAAATTCTTAAATCTCATACAGACTTTCTAAAACTGTCACACACTTGTGAAATTTGAACTACATTTTATTCAAACTTTCTCAAATGAAAAAATGGCCTATATAAGGATTGTAGATCTTGAATCCATGACCATGACTCCATGAGACCCATGAAGCCATGAGCTTGGCTATTTCTACTCATGCCGCGAAGATTGGTGCTTGTATGATGTTTGATGTATGATGTATCTGTATCTTTATCTTATTTGTTGCTTTACTCTTTAGTCTTTCGGCTTAATCTAGATGGATTATGGACTCATAGAGTGGTGTAATGGTTTGCGCACGTATGATATATATATATATATATATATATATATATATATATATATATATATATATATATATATATATATATATATGCTGCTTTTACTCAATATCCGAATAGATATTTGTATCCGACCTTCTCCGAATCCGATTCATACCGTATTCGATACTCATTATTCGTATCCGTAACCGAGTCAATCCGTATTCGTATATGTATCCGAACGCTATCCGTGTCCGAATCCGAATCCGAATAGAAATATGAAAATAAATATAATATGAGTGATATCCGTTCGTATCCGATCCGTTTTATTACATTAGTGGAAAGGACGCGCCCTCGCACGCCGCAGTCTTCAGTTGAACCTGTTGGGTTTGCGCTGTGGTGATGCTGCAGGTGGACTGTCTTTGCCATCCTGTGTAGCTGTGGTAGTTTCCAAATTCTCATCTCGCACTGTTTCCTGGAAAAGAGATGCGAAGCGATTTAGCAGACTTGATGATGCAAAAAGGCATGAGAATATTAGTACAGTTATTTTGGTGGGTATAATTTTAGGAGTTGTAATCGAAAAAATGTGCATGAGCTCACATTGGCAGCATCGTCGCTGTCACTGAACAGCTGCCTATGAGCGTGGCTCGCTGCTGCCGGGTCTTATCAGCCAGCTTATTCGCTGGCTTATAAGTTATGGTACAGTATTTTTCTTTCTCAAAAAATCAGCCATACAAATCAGCACCAGCGGCTTTACAGCCAGCCGAACAAGCCCATTAATATGGTTCAGACTGAACAAAATTCGTAGGTAAACAATTTTAAAATACAAATTTTGGCACGCTTGGTTGACTAATTATGGCACAGTAGTGTCACTTACCCAGTGGCAAGATCCTTTTAGGGGTGTTTCATCAGGATTAATTGATGATGCAGGTGTCTGTGAATTCAATAACAAGATGAGCCTGCGCATTTGAACAATAATGTAAGGAAGTATGCAAAGGGTATGGAGACTCATTTGTACAGGCCTCATGACATGGTCTATTTCTATCACACTTAAGCTGCACCTAGCAAACATGTGAAATATAGGAAGCCGTAACATAACAAATGGAATTCAAAAGTTTATCATTTCTTAATTCCTGCTGGAAATCTAGAATTATCTAGCAGTGATTCATATATGTTTTAATGTTTAGAATCGCAAACAAGGCAGACATTAAATGAACCATTTCCCTTTTCTTGGAACCGGAAAGAACATTATCCACCCACCCTTCATAAAACATCCCATCAGAAATCCGTGACCTAACTAAATCTTAGATTGCTTGTGTACTTTTGAGGAGAATAACTGGAAATCTCCTATGTCTTCATCCCTAGGTCTCGTTAGTATTGAGAACGGTATTACCTGGATCGACGAAGTCGTGGAAGGTATTGAGTTCAGCTGCATCTGTGGGATGATTCTGCTGAGTTGGTTGGTGTCGTGGTCAGACCTTGGTAAGTGTTTGGTTTGTCTGCCCAAGTCCATCGGATTGGTTTCACGGTTGGTGATTCTTTTTCCAACCTATAGTTGCATGTAGATCACGTATTAATTCTTATTGCTGGATAAATGTGTGGGAAGGAACAAAGGGTTAGTTGGAAAAATGGTGCAGCAAACAATGCAATTTTTCTTCTGAGAAGGATAACAACAATGTAAATCAATGAACCAATATCCATAGCTGCTGGAACAGTGAGGAGAAAGGAAAGGAAAAGAAATAAGAGGAGATGCCTAGCATTCATCCTGGAGGTTAAACAAACCTGAAAAATAGGAAAGGCCATCGCGGCCATTCATGAAATTCGCATGCTTGGTAGCTGGACGCGAACAACACATCGAGCTGAATCCAAACAAAGGTGACATCGAAAAGAATCGTAATGCAATGTGCATGAATAGAAGCCACCAACCACTATGGTGGTTCAAGAAATCAGTTCACCAGTGCCGTCTATTATATTCTCCTCGATAGTTGATGTATATAGCATTCATGTATAAATAAAAATTAGAATTTTATGTAGCTTCGCTCCAAAATTATGAACCTTCATTTTCTGAGGAAACTTTGTGCATTGTCATTCTATACGGACTACCTCAACGGAACTCCAAAAATAGTTAAACCTAATTATTCTACTGATGCTGTAAACAGCGTAATAACTCATTTCTATGTATAAAAATAGAGGTTGTATGACAGGCTGTGCATATCACAATTACCAGATGGGACGAAGTCGCTGCGATGAACTGTAGAGAATAACCAGCAAGCGGCTTCAGGCTGTGACTAA